TGACAGTGCAGAAATACCATGGTATATATGCTTTTGCTTAAATCAACCACTATACCTGATGATTGGTGATTAGCTAATGTGATGGCATTTTTTTAAAGGCTCCAGAAATGATCTTGGCAGTTTCAGCCTAGTAAGCCTAACTTCAGGACAAAGCAAATTGATTCAAATCATACTAAAGAAAAGGATTATACACACAGATGAAAATGTATTGGGGACCAGCCAACAGCTTTTGTAAATGGAAATCATGCCTTACCAATCTGTTAGAATTCCCTAACAGATTGTCATGTGTCAGTCATGTGGACAAGAGCATTCCAATAGATAATGTGTACTTGGACTTTCAGAAAGCCATTGAAAAGGTTCCACATCAAAGGCCTTGAAACAAATTAAGCAGTTGTGGAATAAGAGTGAAGGTTCTCTCATGGATTAGTAGTTGGTTATAAGATATAAAACAAAAGTTAGGAATAAATGCTTAGTTTTCCACAGTGGAGCATGATAAAATAGCAGCATCAAGCATTTGTACTAAGATCAGTGCTGTTCAACTTTTTCACAGATGTTTTGGAAAAGGAAGTGAACAGTGAAGTGACAAAATGTGCCAATGATACAAAATTATATTAATCCAATCCAGACTCTAAAGAGTTATAAAGGGATCTCACAAAATTGGATGACAAAATGGCAGATGAAAGTCAATGGTAATAAGTACAAAGAAATGCACACTAGAAAAGATCATCCCAACTATGTGTATAAATTGATTGGATTTAAATTCTTTCAGAGGCCTTTCAAGAAGGAACTGGGAGTTATCATGGATAGTATTCTGAAAACATCTGCTCTATGTGCAATAAAGCTAATGCTGTTAGAAACAATTAGAAAAGCAATAGTAAGACAGTCAACAACATAATGCAACTATGCAAATCCATTGTATGCCCACGCTTTAAATGCTGCATGCAGTTCTGGTCTCATCATCTCAAAAAAGGTATTAGAATTGGAATAGGTACCAAAAAGGTAATAAAAATGATTTAGGGCATGGAACAGCTTCCATATGAGGAGAACTTAAAAACACTGGGATGGTCAGTTTAGAAGAGTCAACTAAGAAAGCATATGAGAGGGGTCTAATGCAGTCATGAATTGTGTGGAGAAAGTGACTGGTATTATTTGCCCCTTCACTTAATACAAGATCCAAGGATCACCCAATTAAATTAATAGGCAGTGGGCTTAAAAACAAAAGGAAGAACTTCCACATGCAATGGAACCTGTGTAACTTGTTGCCAGGGTTGCTGGGAAGGGCACAAGTATAACTAGGTTAAAAAAAATAGAAAAGTTCACAGAGGACAGGTCAATCAATGGCCATTATCGAAGATGGTTAGGAATATAATCACACATTCTGGGTGTCCCTAAGGCCCTGGAAGGCAGAAACTAGATCTGGATGACAGAAGATTGATCACACTATAATTGTCCTGTTCTGTTCTTTCCCTCTGAAGCATCTAGCATTGACCACTGGCAGAAGACAGGATACTGGGTTAAACTACTCAGTTTGGCAGTTCTTATTTTCTTAAGTCTTATCAGTGCAAAATCTATTACTGCAAAAATATCAATAATATGAAAGAAACAAGTTATCACTGCAGTATAATTAGAGTTTCTCCTAAATAGAAACTCATTCTAATTTATCTGAATATTGCTCATGTTACTGAAAATAAGGGAAGCTGAAAAGAAGTTCTGGTTGAACTTTGTTGAAAAAAGAGACCATGCAGTCAATAAAGCAACTTTTAATTGTTATGCGTATGCTTGTAATAAAGGAAGCATAGTAAACTCAGAGTTGAGTAATGTAGCTATGGTAACAGAAGTTTTCAGTCAATACTCTTTGATCTTGAACATTAGATGGTCATGTCAGATTGCTGCTCACACTCTCTTGCCAAAAAGAGGTCAATATGTTCTTGCTGAAGTACTTCAAAGTGAGGCCTCAGAAATGCCTAAGGGTCCCAATACTAGCAACTCCCATCTTTGATCAAATTGAACAATCCCGGCTGCTTGCAAAGTTACTTAACTAAAGCTGTTTTGAGGTCTTGTTGCTAAAGTAATGTTACTTGAGCCATTGTATTAAAGCATGCATCAGATTTTCTATTATAAACCTCTCTTAGGGGTATAATTGGCTACTAAGAATTTAACCTGAATTGCAATAGGACATACAAAGGCAGTAATTTTATATTTTTGAATTAGAGGCTTTTGTTGCTTTGTAATTAAATTTATAGTAATAGGTGACAGATACATTGGAGGTGTGTGTGTGTGTGTACCTAGCCATCCACCCATCCCTGTCCCTCTGGTAAGTCACATATTTGTATTTAATGTTCATATTATAGGAGCATGTAGAGGAATCAGTCAGACACAGTCCTTGCTCTGAAGAGTTTATGATGTAAACATAGAAGACAAAAAATGGGATTAAAAAAATCCCCATTTTACAGATGGGAATCTGAGACACCAAGTAATTTAGCTCTGGTTTACAATAGGAAGTTGTTTCAAAATAACTCCACAAATTTCTAAACAACAAGCGGACCATCCATACTACTAAGCCCATTATTTTGAAATAAGGAGCTAGTTATTTTGAAATAATGACTCCTGTTTTCCTCAAGGAATAATACTTATTTCTAAATAGTTAATTCAAAATAGCGGTAATGTGGACGCTTCACTGCTGCTATTTTGAAATAACGACCCCCAGAGTCATTCAGAGTAATTACTCCCCAATGCTTTCTGGGGCTCTAAGTTAACGTAGTGCATCCACATTAGGGGAGCCTGCTTCAGACTAATTTCAAGGCTTTCCTGTAGTGTGGACATGCTATTTTGAAATAGTTATATTGGGAGTTATTTTGAAATAACTTATTTCTAAATAATTTCCTATAGTAAGTGAATTGCCAAAGATTACAATAAAGTTGTGACAGATCCTGGAATTTAACCCAGATCTCCTGAACTCCAGTCTATTAGATTAGTCACAAGGCAATACTTGATTTCATGAATGATTTTAATGTGAAAATCTTACCACCTGTTTCACTATTTCTTTTGATAAGGAATTACAAAACATCGTAATTTATCAGTTGTCTGCCATGCTAAGTTTTTCAAGACCTTTTCTAGATATAGGATAAAAATATCATAGTTCCTCTGCCAGTACTGAGTTCTGAAGTTTCAACCTCTTATTCCAAACCTACCCATTTCCCATTAGATTCATGCAGTTAACATGGACATCAAAGCCACATGTGATTAAATTACATATTGCCATGTCAATCTGACTACATTCTATCCCCTTCAAAAAGCTATTTTTGTATGTAAAAAAAGCTCATATTCCACTAGTCTTTATGATAATTTTAGTAGATCCTAAGTACTGACTGTAGCTGTCTTTATCTAGGTAGGATGGTTTAGTTCTTTCTATAGCATGCAGTACTTGAGTTATGTAAGAAGGAAACCAACCCTATCGCCACTAGAGGTAGCTTTTGTGCTCACAATATAAAACACTACTTATAGCATGAAGCAGGAGCTTCCAATTTTACTGACTAAGCAGGTTAATTTATATTCTAGACAGTCACGCAGTTTAAAAAAAACTTCCAAAGGCCAATATTTTTAAATTTGAAATTTGAATTAGAATGAGAATGGCCTGAGTTTTTAAAGTTGTTGATTAATCAGTCTCTCAGTTGAAGACACCCACATTTTAATAATTTTAGCTTTGTAGTGTTACTGTCTTCAAGGCCTGAGGGGAGGTAAAGGAGAGACAAAACTCATATTTTCCTTCTGTGAAGTCAATGACAAGAATAGCCATATTGATTTCAGTAAGAGCAGGGTCATGCCAGAAGGATTATTTAGAATCTTAAAAATAAACACTTCCCCCTTTTAGCAGTTTCAATTCCCTGTTTGTGTTTTGGCTTTCTTTGGTTTCTTGTATATTCTGGAGTATTTCTGCTTTAGCAGAGAAGAGCGTGGAGCTCAGATGGCATCTAGGAAGCAGCTTGAAAATTCTGACTGCAGGAAACAATTCAAGGCAAGAATAGCCAGAGTAAAGGTATTTGCATATTTACAGGAGAGTAATTGAGAAATTCCTGTGTGGTATTTTTTCCTCCCACCTCAGATCAGCTGATTACAACTAACTAACCTGCTAAAATGGTCCTCTCATGCCTTTTCTACTGCAATTACTGCTGTTGATAAACAAAACAGGAGATTAAATATAGAAAAGCAATTACAGATCATACTGCGCAGTTGATAAGAACAGACTCTTAAGGCACCTCCAGCACAGAATTCTGGGAATGCTATCAAGCCACACAAAGACTGCCAGTTCTTCAGTTCTGAACAGTATGCAGAGATACAACACGCAGCAGTAATTGCACTGCACTTTGAGCTCTGAGGTTATTCTATGTCTTGACCTAAACCATGCATAACTTGCAGCTTTGACTCATGGAGGTCAGCACATATTTACCAAAGGGAGAATGATTTACACATGTGCCTTTTCCTTGCTAGCCTGGAAATACATCAAACACACACCTATAATCCTTTTCTTCATACAAAATTGAATCAGTTTAATCAAAAGTGTGTTTTAAAATGAATGTAACAAGTCAACTTTGAGTAGACATGCTTTAATCAGCAAACAGATGTGCTAATTTGAGCTATAGGGAAATCCAATCCCATCCCCTCTCCCAGAAAAAGAAAAAAAGGACCCAGCAATATTTTTTAGTTTGCCAAAAAAATCTTCAATACTAGTTTTCATAATTATTGAAAAAGCATATGGTGTGCAGCAATCAAAAAGCAATAAATAAATAAAATTCAGCAATCCAAAACTAAAAATTTCACTTAAATATAATTTTCTATATTTTCAGGGATAGTATGAAAATGGATTTTTTTTCAAAACTTTCCATTTAATTAAAATGTCATTTGCCTTGGAAAATAAGTTTTATAGAATACTTTCTACGTGTTCTACCACTTTCTCCTACTCCTGGATATAAAACCTAAAATTAGAGTAGATCATTTCTTACCTTTATATACTGGTTAGTCGCTTGCTACACTCTTCTGACCCTTTGGCAGGTGAGTTACACCAGCTTACATTTCCTTTTCACTTTTCAAGTCAAGGTAGTCCTTTTCAGAAGGTGTACGTAGGGAGAATTGGGTTTTAAGGTACACGTTCGTAAGTGGCAGGAGCATTTAAGACCACAGTCCTGAAAGCAATTTACTGAGAGCAAACCATGCACCTACACAAAATATTGAAGTTAATGGGGCTTCAGACAGGCACACATTCTTGCTAGGGCTCATTGAGGATCAGGGTTGATCAGCTCTACTGTCTTGTTTGCATGATGCTGCAGTTTGGATTATGTGGCTGTGAACTGCAGCTATGTGCTCTAGCATACTGAATTGCATCTCTTCTGTGTGGATGCTTCTGGAGAGCTAAAAGGTACTTAGTTTGCATTAACAAGTCCTGATTGAAAGTGTACTCTATTCACATGAACAAGGTACTTTTCTTTCACACCAGCAATGTTCACACAGGGGAGTTACAGCACAGAGTACTAGTGTTCTCAGCAGTTATCACTTCCTTCCCCCACCCCAACGCCTAACCACAATCATAACTGTGAGCCAGGGAAACACCACTAAGTAAGAGTAAATACAGATAAGGGAATTTATGTCAATGAAGAGTGTAGGTGTGTCTAACTCAGCCTCACTTGTTGTTCATATATCCCATGTGTTTTGATTGACAAAATGATCACCTTTTTCTCACTAAACAATCACATTTAAAACACCACAAAAAGAGGATCCTCACTAAAGTTGTATCATTACATGAGCAGCTATTTTTGAAAACAAATATACTACATGTCTACATCAAGAATAATTAATAAAGAATACATCAGAACACCAAATTAGAAGTAACTGGGTTACTAATAATAATATCTGTAGATAATCTTAATTATTTTAATTTTCATACTATGGACTTTGAAATTAGGTCCTCAGTTTAAATAGATATATCTATATCATATAATTTCTTGCTGACAAAGTTTATTGAATAAATCTCAAGGAACAAAATGGGAGTTTTTTGTGTATGGAAGAAACATGTATTTGGTTTCTCTCATAAGGCTGCATTCCCCAGGAGTACCTGTAAGAGAAATTTATTTCCTGTCTTGGTTCAGGATTTCGAAGGCTAATCTGTGACATGACCAGAGTCAATTGGTATCCACTGGATTCTGGATAATTGGTATCACTGTTATCCATGGCATTCTTAACACTTGACAAATGCTTAGAAATATTAAGGGTATTGTAACATACTTTAAAATGGCAGGAAGATTTAAACCTCAAAATAGTTCAGTTCTACGTTGCCCTAAGATACTTTCAGATAATTGATTAAAAATATAATCTTGAAGAACAGACTTTAAAAAAACCCTAATATTCTTTGCAAGATATTTTTTACAAATAGCATTCTGTATTGCTGACGAATCAAACTGGATGCTAGATAACTTGCTCTGGTTCAAGAATCAAGCTAATAACATTACAGTACATTTTTGAGATATGGACAATCTTTTAATATAAGAATTTCAGTATATACCACAAAGTCAGATTTTAAAGGGGACAATGAATTAAAAGAAAGTGTTCTCCTCAATGAGGCTATAAAAAAGTTGGAAGAAAATTATTTTGGGCATTTCTTTATAGAATACCAGAGTGAGTTCAGTGGAATGTCTAGTTTCTTATGGCAGATGGTTTGAGAAACCCGTCAAACTTGGTATTTGTCTACTAATTTGTTAGCAACCAAAATTTATAGCATGCACAAAAAAGTGGAATCATCTTATAAAGTTCCATGAAATGTATAGCATGCATGAAAGAGTGGAACTATAAGAGAGTGGAACTATCACAATTCTGTGAACATGTGGTCTGTTCCCTAAATTTTCCACAGAAAACACCAAGCATGAAGGGGGATTTGTGTGTGTACCTAGAGATGAGCAGACAGACTTTTTTATCCTACATTAAAGGTCTCCATTTCTTCCTTTCCTCATTCCATATTAAATGAAACTGATAGACCAGAGCCACTTCCCAAAGAGGAATTTCCTTCAAGTTTCACTCTCTTCCATTTCCTTTAACTTTTGTCAATTCTCACCAACTCCTGGCTTTGATGATCTCTAGCTAAGTAACAGTCCTCTGCAATGTATAACATTTGTGATCATGTGTAGTAATGATTTAGTTGGGCTTGCAATAAAATCCAAGACAGTTTTATGTAGGGCAAAAGCCTTAGAGTGATAGGTTGCTACAAACTAGAGAAACTCACACCAAGGAAGTAGGATAGTCATGAAAGAGGGTCAGAGGAAGATGCCAGGAAAGGGAAATTCAGCTATGATAGTGAGGGCAGGGAATTTTTCAAAAAGTGATAGATAATGTATACGTACACAACTCTAATATCACTCTCAGTAGCATATTTATTTTAAAAAGTCAGTAGATGCTGAAAATAAAGAGAATTTGGAGAATGTTTTATGGAGGCATTAACTCTGCATAAGTAAAGAACTTTAACCAGTACACATTAGTCTTGAGGTTCACATTTACTTGTTGAATCAAAAGTTCTATGATGATCAGATTTTTGTATTGCTTTTAAATTAATAGAAGGACCATATATCGTTATTCAGACTCGCTAGCAGAAACTTACTGCAAGAGAGATCTCATTAGAATGTAACAGCTGCCACAATGAGTCAGACCATACTCCTTCTTTCCCCAGTACCTTGTCTCAGCGTGGCCCATACTACAGCTTCAAGAGGACTTCACAGAATAATCCACTCTATCTTCTATCCTGGCTGCTAGAAGTTGTAGCTTTAGAGTAGCATAGACCATGGGGTTGCATCTCTCACTTTCCTGGCTAATAGTCACTGATGGACCTATCCTCCATGAACATATCTATTTTTTTGTTTAAACTCAGTTATACCTTTGGCCATTAAAACAGCAATGAGTTCCACAGGTTAGTTGAGCAATGTATGAAACAGCACTTTATCTTGCTTGCACTAAACCCCCATACCTATTAATTTCATTGAGTGATCCATAGTTTTTATGTTGTGTGAAAACACAAACAACACTTCACCTTTTCACTACTCATGATTTTACACACCTCTATCATAATCACCCTCTATTTTGTCTTTTCTCTAAACTGAGCAGTCTTAATCATTTTAGTCTCTCCTCATATGGAAGTCACTCCATACCTTTGCTCATCTTTGCTGTCCTTTCTCAGAACTTTTTCCAGTTCTACTAGATCTTTGTGAGATAGTGTAATCAAAACTGGACAGAGTATTCAAGGTGTGGACACAACATAGATTTACTGAGTGGAATTAAGAATTTGTTGTCCTATTTCCCATCCATTTCCTAATCGTTTCTAACATATTGTTAGCTCTTTATATTGTTATTGGGCACTGAGCACAGAACTATCCATAGTGCTTCCAAGATCTCTTTCTTGAGTAGGAACATCTAATTTAGAACTAAGGGTATGTCTAAACTACATGGCTCCGTCGACGGAGCCATGTAGTTTAGACATACCCTTAGTTCTAAATTAGATGTTCCTACTCAAGAAAGAGATCTTGGAAGCACTATGGATAGTTCTGTGCTCAGTGCCCAATAACAATATAAAGAGCTAACAATATGTTAGAAACGATTAGGAAATGGATGGGAAATAGGACAACAAATTCTTAATTCCACTCAGTAAATCTATGTTGTGTCCACACCTTGAATACTCTGTCCAGTTTTGATTACACTATCTCACAAAGATCTAGTAGAACTGGAAAAAGTTCTGAGAAAGGACAGCAAAGATGAGCAAAGGTATGGAGTGACTTCCATATGAGGAGAGACTAAAATGATTATGATCAGCTGTTTGTCAGCTCAGCGTGGCAGCCATTTAAATTTAAATGAAGACGCGATTATTTAAATCGCGGCTTCATTTTCCTTTGCCAATCAGCCTAACCTACATGGCTCCCTCGATGGAGCCATGTAGTTTAGACACACCCTGACTGTATAGTCATGTAATGTACATGTATAGTTGGAATTAGGTTTTCCAATGTGCATTACTTTGCACTTGTCAACATTGAGTTTCACCTGCCAATTGTTGCCCAGTCACCCTCTTTGGTGAAGTCCCTTTGTAATTATTTGCAGTCTGCTTTGGACTTAACTATCTTGGGTGATTTTGTATTGTCTGCAGACTTTGCCCTTTCACTGACAATCTCTTTTCCAGATCATTAATGAATATTATGAACACAGGTCCTGTAAACTCTCTCCATTGTGAAAACTAAGCATTTATTCCCACAGTTTGCTTTTTATCTTTCAGTCCATTATTGATGCATGAGAAGAACTTCCCTCCTCTTCCATTACTACTGTGCTTAAGTGTCTTTAGTAAGGGATATTGTCATAGATGTTCTGACAATCCAAGTACACTATATGAACTGGATCATCCTTATTCACAAGCTTGATATCTCCCTCCGAGAATTCTAATAGACTGGTATGGCACGATTTCCCTTTATCAAAATCACATTGACAACACCTCAGCACATCATGTTTCCATATATATATGATAATTCTGTTCTTTATTATAGTTTTGACCAATTCGCCCTGCAGTTAGTCACTTATAGCTCAGTGAACTAGGATCTTCTCTGGAGTCATTTTTAAAAATTGGCAGTTTGTCTCATCTGGTTCAGAGGCTGATTTAAGTGATCCATACCACTGTTGATAATTCTCCATGTTCTTGTCTGAGTTCCTTCAGAACTCTTGGGTGAATACCATCTGGTCCTGGTGACATGTTACTGTTTATGTTATAAGTTTATTTTAAAACCTCTTCTACTGAAGCATCAGTTTGGGACAGATCTTCAAAATTGCCATATAGAAAGAAAATTTCACTTTGGCAACAA